ATCCCTGAAAATACACAGACCAAATGGGTTTTATTTGTGTGTTCAGGAATATACACAAATATACAATACCAATTAAAGTTATTAAGAAATAATAAATGCCTATGTAAAGTCAAGTTTTTGGATCATCTATTGATGAGGGATGTCCTTCTGTATGCTGTGAATATATATTCCTCTTATTGGTTGATGAATAAAGCTGTTTTGGTCAATAGACAAGCAGGACATACATATCCAGGCAGGAAGTATAGGCGTGGCTACCAGACTAGGAAAGTGCTGGGAAGAGGAACACAGAGAAGAGTCGCCAGAGAGAGATGTTCTGCAGCTATCGGGAAGTAAGACAAGACCACGTGGAGAGAGATGAATTGAAATGGGTTAATAATTAAGAGAGAGATAGTCAATAAGAAGCCTGAGCCGCCTACAATCCCATGGCCAGAGAGTCTGGGAAACAGAACCTTCATTCAGTGGTTGATGGAAGCAGAGGCAGACTCCCACGGCAAAGCACTGAGCTGAACTCAAGAAATCCAGTGACAGAGAGGGAGGACTGATGACCAAAGGGGTTAAGACTTGGCTGGTTTAACCCTAGAAACAGCTGACCTGACAAGGGTTAGCTCTTGAATCCCAGACCAATGCCTGCGAATCCAGCATGGGACTGATCAAGACCCCCTGAATGTGGGTGTCAGTGAGGAAGCCTAGGTAATCTATTGAGCCTTGGGTAGTGATCAGTATTTATCCCAGGTATATACACGGACTTAGGGCTCCCATCTAACAATGAGAGATGCACTCTCACCCTGGACTCTTGGGGGAGGGTCTAGGCCCTGCCCTGGATGAAATGACAGACTATGGACACCCCCATGGAGGGCCTCACCCTCCCTGGGGGAATAAGGGGATATTGGGGGATTTGGTGGGAGGGCGCGGGAGAAGGGGCAGGAAAGGGAGAGGGACCTGGAATTGACATGTGAAGCAACCTTGTTTAGAATTTAAATTTAAATTTAAAAATAAAAAAGTAAAAAAAAAGAAGCCTGAGCCATCGGCCAAACAGTTTATAATTAATATAAACCTCAGTGTATTTATTTGTAATTTTCTCATGAAGAAAAACAAAACAAACCAAAACCCACAAAAAGAATTCTTGAGATAACTAGAACATGGGAAGAAGTTTCACATAAATGGAATGGAACACAATATTTTGAAATCTGTAGTTTTTCTGAAAGTGGTTTATATCATCAATTCAAATTTCATGACATTTAAATGTTCCACAATGACCTTCAGAGAAATAGTAAAGAGGAACGTAGAATTTATGTTGACACAAATTCCCTGTGCCCAGAACAGCCCCAGGAAAATGAAATGCTTGAACTATCTCAATGTAATTCCAGATCACACCAATGCAATAGGGTAGCAGACCCAGAACATGCCCAATAGCCATGACCAGGTGAATATGACTGAAATAACACAAACGTGTTGTAGATGAGACAGCCTCTTCAAATGGTGGCATTGGGAAAAGTATGTAGACCACATATAAAAACATGAACCTGGATTCAAATCTCTCCTACCACATGGTGAATCACAGACCTTCACGTATGATCTGAATCCGTGAATCCTGCAGAACAACACAAAGGGGCAACACTAGACACAAGAGCAGAAACAGACAAATAGTACTGTGTGAAATTAAAAACATTCAGGGAAATGGTGATACTTAAAAGTGTGAAGAGACAGCATAAACAGCAGACACATTTATTAGCTATGTATTTTTGTAGAATGGATGAAAACCCAGAATCAATAACAAATGCAAAGGAAGCAAATGATAATATAATTAATAAATAAGTAAATGGATTGAGCAGACCATGCTCAACTGCAGTTTCTGGGCCAATATATACATATTTAAAAGCACCACAGTGCAGATCATAAGATAGTATAAATTTAATGTACAGAGATTCCAAGTGTGCCTTGTCAGTGGTCATATTCAAGTTGCTAAGCAACAAAAAAGCATTTTTTTCCCAGTAATGTCTTGAAACAGACAGTATTCCATAAGCAAAAGGTGTAAACAGACTACAGGATTCTAGAAAAGGAAACTGACAGCTGATATTAAAATATATATTGTCTATGAAAAATTGCATATATAAACATACAAAATACTGAGAAAGAATGAATTTTTTAAATGCTATGATTATGGAGTACAGTAGAGCGGACTGATGATCATAATTATAATAGTGACAGGAAAATAAAAACAAAAGTGTCAAAATACAAAATTAAGAGTAATATCAAAGAATAAAATGCCTACTCGTTAGACATGCCACAAAACCTGGAACTCAGACATCCACAGAAGACAGAAATCAGGAGAATGCATAAAACATGTGGAAACTGAAACGTTGCCTCATGGATCTTTTCAAACATGAGAAGACAAAAACTAGAAGGAGGTCTGCCTTCTCTAAGACTCCAAGCAATTCCTATCACAATCCTATTTGCATATGTTACAATAGAATCCTGAAAGTACCAAGGAAAGCAAAGAACCAGAAAATACTAAGAGGATCAAATGTAGAGATGATCTCACAGTATATTACAATTACAGTGATGGAAACCACTTGGGATTGTCCTGACCACAGACAATCGGAGATACGCATGGGAGGACAGTACAGATGGAGTTTAGCAGTCTACAAATATACTGGCATTATTTTCACAAATGGTTGGTCACATTAACACTAAAAGGTAGAGAACGTTCTAGAATACCAAAAGCTCCAAGATTCTGAAAGCAATAAGTAAACCCAGAGGACACAATTTTGATTATTTTATAATACATTATATTATAATACAAATCATAGAAATGAAGACCAATTAGTAGAGTTATGAATAAATAAGGACAGTATCTGTTATTCACGTGCATACTCAAATAAAATTTTATATATTTCCTAGTATCAATTCTTCTGTAGAACCTGTTCTCACACCTACAATAGGATAATCCTGAGATCTTTCTCAGTGGAAGTGTCCAGAGTTACTTCTAGTGAAACAGAATGTGTCAAAACTGAGTTCATGTCCCACTTACACATTGACTTGAACTCCTTTCCTCTCCTTCACCAACCCCTCCCCCACAACCCCTCCCCCACACCTGCATCCTTAGCGTCTGTCTCCTCTCTCCTTCCAGGCCCCTTTGTTCTGCTGCATAGGTGAGCAGGTCTGGGTGATCAGTGAGCCCTGCACATGAGAAAGAGATTGTTCAGGAAGCCCCTGTATTTCTTTCTTGGTTTTTTTTTTTTTTTTTTTTTTTTGGTGCCTGAAAGGAAATATTTGTAATTTTTTTAAAGATTTACTTATAATGTACAGTGTTGTGACTGTGTGACAGAAGAGGGTACCAGATCTCATTATAGATGGCTGGGAGCCATCATGTGCTTGCTGGGAATTGAACTCAAGACCTCTGGAAGAGCAGCCAGTGCTCTTAACCTCTGAGCCATCTCCAGCCCCCATGCACTTGGCACCTGGATTTCTTCCTTCCTTTTTTTCTTTTTGTTTTGTTTTTTTTTGAGACAGGGTTTCTCTGTGTAGCTTTGGAGGCTGTCCTGGAACTAGCTCTGTAAACCAGGCTGGCCTGGAACTCACCGAGATCCACCTACCCGTCTATGTCTCCTGCGTGCTGGGAATAAAAGTGTGTGCCATCACCGCCTGGTGCACCTGTATTTTTAAGACAGTACTGTGCTCAGTAGATGGAGAGGGATCTATAAATGATTCCTCAATTACCATGCAATGTCAGAGTACTGAAAATCAGTTAGTGTAACTTCAGTCAAATTTCAGGGCAGAAATGGAATTAAATGATTGGAATGAGAAAATCATACACTAGTGACGTCCTGAATTTATCATGGACCCAAGATGATGGAAGCCTCAGAACTCTCAAAGGGACACACGATTACAGAGTAATTTGCCAAGAAACCATGAGGTGAAGCAAGGGAGACTGAAAGCAAACTTTCTCACCAACTGAAACCAGACTGCTTCAACTCTGCAACATCCAGTCTCTGTAAAAACCCCAGGGCAGGCTCCAGGCACTGACGCTCCTGGGAGAAGTCCACAGTGGCACCACTGGCTGCCAACAGGCCACAAAAGAAAACAGAACATTTTGGGATGTGTCGGTGCACACCTTCAGTCTTAGCACTGGGGAGACAGAGGAGGGCAGAACTCTGTGTTTTTTAGTCCAGCCTGGTCTACACGGTGAGTTTGGGCCAGACACCGCAATATAAGGAATTCAGGACTCAAACACAGCAAACACAAGAGCCAACAAAAGAATTATATTTGGTCATGTGCCCATGACCAAGGAGAAAAAAGATTACTCCAACCATTTTTCTGATGTAGATGAGTTACTGTAATTATTCAAAAGATGCTTTCTAATATTATCCTATACTATAATACCTTTTCATTTCTTTTATTCTTTTGTGCCCCCTGAGACAGGGTTCTCTCTGTGTAGATCATCTGGCTGTCCTTAAACTCCATCCTAGACCACACTGGCAAGGAACTCCCAAATCCAATTTTCCTTTGATGCCCAAATGCTGGGATTAGAGGCATGTGTCAACACACTTTGGGAGCCCATTCCCTATGGAGGGATACTATTTCAGCCCAGATACATGGAGGAGGGCCTATGCCCTCCCTGAAATGATGTGACAGACACTGATGATCCCTCATGGAAGGCCTCACCATCCTTGGGGAGCGGGTAAGAGTTGGGTTGGGGGGGACTGGTAGGGGGCATAGGAGGATGGGAGGGAGAGGGAAGGGTGGAGATTGATATGTAAAATGATTTTTTCTGGAAAAAAAAGGAAAAAAACAAAGGCATGTGCCACCACCATCATGTGACTTATAACCCTTTTTCTAACTGAAAATACTGTGAACTCATATCATTAAAAAAGCATACTGTGCTTTTCCAGGCTCTAAATACACATTTTGTTTTATCTTTTCTTTTTCTTTCTTTCTAACTTTTTTTTTTTTTTTGAGACAGAGTCTCACCACGGAACTCTGGCTGTCCTGGAACTCACCGTGGAGACCATGCTGGCCTTCCGCTCACTGATATCGACCTTGCCTCTGCTTCCTCAGTAGTGAGATTAAAGGTGTGTGCCACCAAGCCTGTCAAAGATATTAAAAAAAAACTTTTTGCATGCAAGCTGTAAAATAAAAAGTAATTAAAGCCTGTTACTCCCAGCCTGTGGCCCATTCCATTCATTTTCCTCACTCATATGACTGTGTACATGACTCCATCTCCTACATGCTCTGTTTTGTAACATTCACTCTCTAGAAAGTTCATCAAAATACATTAATTATGTACAATTATATTTTTTTACATATACGCAAGAAAGTACACCTCTGGCCTTTTCCTGGCTCCTGAGGAGTTGCATAAGTAACATACTTTTTTTTTTTTGATAATTGGATTTTTAAAATTTAAATTAGGAACAAGCTTGTTTTACATGTCAATCCCAGTTCCATCTCCCTCCCCACTTTCCTATCCGTCCACTAACCCCTTATTCCATTGCCTTTCTGCTCCCCAGGGAGGGTGAGCCTTCAAAGTGTCACATCATTTGGAGCAGGGCCTAGACCCTCCCCCCTGTGTCAAGGCTGAGAGAGCATCCCTCTATGTGGAATGGGCTCCCAAAGTCCATTCTTTTGCTAGGGATAAATACTGATCTACCAGAGGCCTCCTCACTGACACCCACGTTCAGGGGGTCTGGATTGGTCCTATGCTGGTTTCCCAGCTGTCAGTCTGGGGTCCATGAGCTCCGCCTTGCTCAGGTCAGCTGTTTCTGTGGGTTTCACCAGCTTGGAAGGGCATTTTTAGGACTGCTCTATTTTCATCACCAAGTGTGTAAGTGTCAGATGAAAATTTAATGGCAGATAAAATTTACTTTTAAAAGTTAACGTTTCCAGCCTCCCGGGTCCCAGCCCCGCGGCTCCTCTGACCTGGGAGGTTCCAGGGCCGCCGGGCTGCGGTTCCCGCCACTGCGCTGCTGCTGACGCTGACTTTCCCAGGCCGCCCGCCCCGCGCGGACACTGCGGCTCCGGAGTCTCCAGGTCCCCGCAGCGCCCGCCGTGTCCCCCGCACCCGGGTCTGCAGCGCGGTTCCCACCGTGCGGGACCCGGTCAACGACAGGGAACCGGCAACGGGCACCGGAGGCAGCTGCTCCTCAGTTCTCTTCCAGGTCCTCTCGCAATAGGTTTCCCCGCTTCCGTTTACGTCACACCCTTAGCTCCTCCCACTTCATCCTTCCAGTGCATTCACCTAAAGTCCGATGCCCTCCCCACCGCTACTTCCGGTTTCGTGTCCCCGCCCCCACGGCCCCGCCCCTCCCACTCGGTCTCCCCATGGCTGCAGCTGTCAGGCTGCCCTGGACCCGCTCTGCACAGACTCCACACATGCTTGCTGCAGCCTAGACCAGAGGTGCATCCGGGAGGACGCTGCACCCCGGGATCTGACCCCACAGTGAGTTCTGAACCCTTCAGAGAAAAGACAGGCAGCCTAACCCCGACTTGACCACCAGACTCCAGGGCAGCAAAATCACACCAGACGATAACAGGCTAAATTCAGATGCCAGCGTCCCATCGCCAACACAAACATGACAAGACAAAACCAAATACCACAGTTGCGACTTGGGGGGAGACATTTCAGGAACTTGAATTCTGAAAAGAAATCGGTGTCTCCAGAAGTCAGTGGTCAGTCCATTGCTAACACCGCAGGGACGAGTTCACCCCGCGCTGTACGACTCTGGCCACTACATGGTGTTCTTGTCAATTTACTAACTCAGAATCAGGTTTGTCCTGTGTGAATCATGTTAAAGATGCTTTTAAGATAAAATATAAAAAAAATTTTTAATGCAACGGTGAATGCAGAGAATCTTGCTGTCCCAGATGCAGAAAATAAGACAGATATGTGGTCCCAGGTGTAAAAAGTCAGTTACACCATCCATCTTTGGCTCTGGGAACACTGAGGAGGACAAGGAACGGGAATAAGAAGGGAAAGAGGAGGACAGGCTCTAGACTCCACACAGCTGTTGTGATCAGTAACCAACAGCAACTGTACTGACCTGCACTGACCTCACAGTAGACCACAGTCAGTCTAGGAAAGGGAAAGGCTCACAGGGCCCCACCCTTAACCTCTCAAATGCTGTCTATGGATGGATTGTAGGAGGAGAATCACTGCCTTTAGCTGCAGTCCTCTGCTGAGCCCAGCAGGCTCCAACACATAGCTCCAAACCCACAGTCTCACAGATGACTCTGGTTAATCTCAGAGGATCCCACGCAAAATTAATAGAGAGGAACATAATTGACAAATTTGTTTGAAATGACGACCAGGATAGTAGAGACGTAGCAGTGAGAGGGGGCAGTATCTGAGGTGTGCATGCACAAACACACACTGACTGTGAATGTACACATACATTGTTGTGTGAGTGGGAATTATTTTTTTTCTTTTTGTGACAGAGTTTCTCTGTGTAACCCTGGCAGTCCTGGAACTAGCTTTTTATTAGCAAACCAGGATGGCCTTGAAGTCCCAGAGATCAGCCAGTCTGTTTCTCACAAATGCTTGGATCAAAGGCATTTGCCATCATCCTGAGCTCAGGATTTTTTTAAAGGAATGTGTCAATCTGTAATTTCTTTTTGATTGTGTCATTATCTGGTGGTTTTATTTACTTATCAATCTATTTATTTTTCAAAATTGGGTTTCTCTGTAAATCTCTTTGAAGACCAGGCTGGCCTGGAAATGACTGAGATCTACCCACCTCTGTGTGGTGATATCTTTCTTGTACAAATAAAGCCTGTCTGAGGGTCAGAGAATGGAGCTTGCCACTAGCTAACTATAGAGGTCTGTCTCTACAATGTGGAGTGTGCTACCATGCTCAGCTCATTATTTGGTATAATATCAGTTAGTATTAAGAGTCAAGAAGTCTTTTATGTGTCAAGAAGTATTTTTTAATTTAAATTTTTTTCTTTTCATTTGACACATTATCCCCAGTTCCCGTTCTCCTACCTCCACTACCTCCTCCTATCCTACCTTCCATCCACTCCTCAGAGGGGGTAAGACCTCCCTTGGGGAGTCAACAAAGTCTGGCATTCCAAATTGAGGCAAGACCAAGCCCCTGCCCCCCAGGCTTCAAGGCTGAGGAAGGTAACCCTCCAAAAGGAATGGACTCCAAAGAGTCAGTTAATGCACCCAGGATAAGTCCTGGTCCCACTGCTGGGGTGTGTGGGAAACAAATAGATCAAACCACACAACTGCCACCCGCATTCAGAGGACCTGGTTTGGTCCAATGCAGGCTACCCAGCTGTCATTCCAGAGTCTGTGAGCTCTGCTACTTTTTCAGCTGCGTCTGTGGTTTTCCCCTTTATGATCTTGACTCCCTTGCTCATATGATCCCACCTCCCTCCCTTCAACTGGACTCCAGTAGCTCAGCCCAGTGCTTGGCTGTGGATCACTGCATCTGCTTCCATCAGTTACTAAAAAGGCAATATGATGACAATTAGGGTAGTCACTAATCATACTCTAGGGAAAGGCCAGTTCAGGCACCCTCTCCACTATTGTTAGGAGTATTAGCTGGGGTCATCCTTGTGAATTCCTGGGAATTTCCCTTGGACCAGGTTTGTCCCTAACCCTATAATGGCTCCAGTTGTCAAGATATCTTTTTCATTGCTCTCCCTTTCCACCCTTCCGTCAACTTGGCCATCTTGATTCCCTCATGTTCCCATACCCCATCTTCTCTCTTCCACTCTTCTTCCAGTTTACCCAGGAGATCTTAGCTATTTCTCCTTCCAGGGCCCTCCATGTATGTCTCTCTTAGGGTCCTCCTTTTTTTACTTAGCTTCTCTGGTTAGCCTTTGCTTTATGTCTAATATCCACTTATGAGTGAATAAATACTATATTTGTATTTTTGAGGCTGGGTTACGTCTCAGGATATTTTTTTGTTGGGGGAAGTCCTTCTGTGTATATGTTTGTCTTATTGATTGATAAATAAACACTGTTGGCCAATAGGGAAGCAAGATAGGTGGGACTAGGAGTTGAGGAGGAGTCTGGGAAATGTAGTAAAGAGTGGAGAGTCACCATGTGATCCTGGGAAGAGAGGATGCATGAGGCTGGTGTTCTCAGAAAGATAAGCCCTTGTAAAAATGTACAGATTGGTAATTATGGGTTAAAAATTAAGTCCAAGCTAGCCAATAAAAACCATAGCAAATGGCCAATAGCTTCATAATTAATATAGCATCCTGCATGTTCATTTGGGACTGACGCAGCTCTGGGACCAGGCTGGTGGGAAGAATGCTCGTTATGTTTTTTCTAGTTCACATTATTTGCCTGCAAATTCAAGATGTCATTTTTTTTCTTCTGAGTAATATTCCATTGTGTAACTGTAACACATTTTCTTTATCCATTCTTTGGTTGAAGGGCATCTATGTTATTTCCAGGTTCTGGATACTATGAATAATGCTGCTATGGACATAGTTGAGCAAATGTGTTTGTGGTATGATTGTGCATCCTTTGGGTATATGCCAAGAGTGGCATTGCTGGGTCTTGAGTTAAATTGATTCCAAATTTTCTGAGAAACTGTCATTTTGATTTCCAAAATGGCTGTACAAGTTTTCACTCCCACCAGCAATGGAGGAGCGTTCCCCTTATTTTACATCCTGTCCAGCATAAGCTGTCATCAGTGTTTTTGATCTTAGCCATTCTGACAGGTGTAAGATGGCATCTCAGTGTCGTTTTGATTTGTGTTTCCCTGGTGAGTAAGGATGTTGAGTGGAGAGATCCAGGAAGATGGCATGGGTAATAGAATAAAGATGATATGAAATTAGAGAGTGGGAATTCTGGGGCTGAATGGTTCAAGTAAGTAGTGGAGTGATTGGGAGATTAGGGGGCTGCTGAAAGGTCAACTCAAATGAGGTGGTCATGAAGAAGCTACACGGGAACCTATCATTTTGCAACTCAAATAAAAAACCATGAGAAAGGATAGGTAGAAGAGAATATAATAGAACACATATCGTTGTTGTGTCTGAGAGTGTCAATCTATGTAAGCAGGTACAAGAGTCTATACAAAGCAAGATCTTGATTGAGTTGAGCACCAAAAACTGGCCAGACAGTGACAATAGTAGACTTTGGTGCTGACTGCATTCCCGGACGTTCATTCAGCAAGTATTTAATCCACAGCTGTGCCAAGTAACAGTTACAATTTACACCCATCAGGACTTAGAGATTAGTGGCTTTCCCTATGTGTTTCATCATGGCCAATAGACAAAGATGGTAGCTTTTGTGTCCGACCAATTGGATTTATTTGCTCTTTGTGTTGTTAGGAACCACCTTAATATCTTAGAGAACTAAAGATGTATAAAAATGATTTCTATGGTTTAAGCAGGAGGTTGGTCAGGTATGGGAAAGTCCCCACTTCTCTAGGGCTTGGGAAACTGAACTTTGTTTCACCCTACAGGTAAAATGGATCAAGTCAAAATGACAGTACTTAGGACAAAGTACTTTTTGCTTGTTCCCAACAATATAATATAAAATAATGGGGAAGTGGATAATGTATGCTAAATGTTTAATTTGGGATGGGGCTGGAAGAAAAGAGGAAGAGCAGGAGGGTATGGTTGCTTTTTTATTTTTTTAAGAGTTTCTCTGTAGCTTTGGAGCTTGTCCTGGAACAAGCTCTATAGACCAGGATGGCTTCAAACTTACAGGGATCTACCTGCTTCTGCTATGGAAGTGCTGGGATTAAAGGCATGCGCCACCACTGCCTGTCACGTTTGGTTGCTTTAATAGGAATGGTCCCCATAAACTTATGTGTTTGAATACTATAGGGAGTGGCACTATTAGGAGGTGTTTAAGTTACAGTTAAGCATGTACATATAAGTGTAGTAGTGCTGTGTTATAAATGAATGGGACATTTGATAATGTGTGCTAACTGTTTAACTGGGAATAGGGCAGCAAGAAAGGAGGTAGAGTAGGAGAGTTAACACAAAGAAAGGATGTATGAGGAAGCCTCATGAAACCCCACTGTCTTACAGGTTAATAGTAAATATGATTTTAAAACTTTGAACAATGGTTTCCCACATGGGTGACTAATGTTGCTCCCAGACACGGGAGCTAGTAAATGAAACTCTTTGTACCAGATACTGGTCATCTGCCTAGGACTTACTGGTTAGGGAGGCCCATGAGGCACCCCAAACAAAACAGGTCATTGCCAGTGCTTTTCTTGGATACCATAAGTATGTGGTATCGCTGAAGACACCAAACACGTTGACTGCAAGATACAGAGACAGCAGTCCTGAAGTAACCAGGAATTTCTCCCATCTGACTACTCTTCACACCACTGAAATGTCATGTGAGAGCTGGGGGCTCCTATTGTGTCCCAGCTTCTGTTTATGTCACTACTCCAACCCCTCCCACTCTCCTCTTTCCCCATGCCCACACAATGGGACATATCTACACAATGGCTGTTTCTGGGTGAGTGTCCCTCCCACTGTGTCTCTGGATGCTTTTCCCACAGCTGTCAGACTGCCCTGGACCCTCTCCACACATGCTTGCTGTAGCCTAGACCAGAGCTGCATCCGGGAGGACGCTGCACCCCGGGGTCTGACCCCACAGTGAGTTCTGAAACCTTCAGAGAAAAGACAGGCAGCCTAACCTCGACTTGATTACCAGTCTTCTGGGCTACATACCTGAAGTGGGACCCAAATTAGTTTTATCAATAAAAACCTGGAGGCAGATACCAAGCGTGAAAGCTGAAAGATCAGAGAAGCAGAGCAGCAGCCATCAGAAACTTCTTATCTCTAGGAATCCTCAGACTAAATGGAACTGAGATTCTGTCTCTACCTGTCTTATATTCCTGTCTCCACTTCCCAAGTGCTGGGATTAAAGGTGTGAGCCTCCCAAGTGCTGGTTTGTGCCAACAGTGTCTGACCTCTATGGTTACCTAGTGACTAGCTCCACCCTCTGATCTCAAGGCAAGCTTTATTTGTCAGAACACAAATAAAATATAACAAGTTGCGAAAAGGGAAAGACTCACAGGGCCAATCCTTTACTTCTCAAATGTCTTTGAATAGATTGTAGCAGAAGAATCATTGCCTTTAGCTGTAGTCCTCTGCTGAGTCCAGCAGGCTCCAACACATAGCTCCAAATCCACCATCTCACAGATGGCCCTAGTTAATCTCAGTGGGTCCCAAGAAAAATTAATGGAGAGGAACACAATAGATTGTTGGAACTGTAGACCAGGATAATAGAGAGGTAGGAGGTGAGGCAGGGCACTGTTTGAGGTGCGCACACACAAACATACAATGTGTATGTATATATTTATATGTATGTGTGAAATAGTTAATAGATTTTTTTTTGTTTTTCTCTGTAGCCCTGGAACTAGCTTTGTAGAGCAAACTATGCTTGAAAATTCAGAGATCTGCCTGCCTCAGGAGTGCTGGAAATAAAGGCATGCTCCACCTTGCCCTGCTCACAAAAAAATTTAAATTACCCTTATCAATCTGTAATTTCTTTCTGGTTGTAGCATTATCTGTGGTTCTTGTGTTTTGCTTTTTTGAAACAGGTTTTCTCTGTATAACCCTGGTTGTCCTGGAACTCCTTTAGCAGAACAGGCTGACATCAAATTCACCGAAATTCACCTATCTCTACCTCTAGAATGCAGTGTGTATCACCATGCCTGGCTCATTATCTGGTTTAATATCAGGTAATAGTAAGAGTCAGGAAATCTTGCTTTTTCATGTCAAGAAGTATTCTAAGTAGCTTTGCTGTTGCTTCTTTTTTGGAGGAATCCTGTCAATCTGGTCCTGATATTTTCCTTCCTTCTCCCTCTCTCTCTTTTTAAAGATTTTATTCATTATGTATACAGTTCTCTGCCTGCATGTATTCCTGCAGGCCAGAAAAGGGCACGGGATCTCATTATAGATTGTTGTGAGCCACCATGTGTTTGCTTGGAATTGAACTCAGGACCTAGGGAAAGACAGCCAGTGCTCTTAACCACTGAACCGTATCTCCAGTGACTGAAGTCATGCTGTGGCTGCAATTCTCCTTCAGCAAACAATCATTGTTTTTCACAAGGATTCTTCAAGGCAAGGTACATTCTACTATCTATCCCATACAGTGATTCTGCTAAATTCCTACAACAAAGGCAGGTACCACCATCCAGAGCTCTTGGGGATTTCTAAACCGTTTGTGTCATGCCTGTGATGTCACATGCACAGCTTCTCCCCTTCAGCTATTGGTTTGACACTGGGATGAAGATTTTCAAAAGTGAACAAAAAAATGGGACTTTATTAGAACATTTTCTTTCATGGGTAAAGGCTTTTACAAATTCAATGCATCTGGTGACTGTAATTTCCACTGAATAGGGATTATATATGGTATACTTTTCACGGTTTCTTAGAGCTATAAAGTTTGTGATGTACAGTACATTTAGAAGGAAAACTAAAGGCTTTGTCACATTTTTATGTTAGCAATTCTGTCATTATTATTATTATTATTGAGACAGGGTCTATGTAGTTCTGCAGTCTTGGAACTCACTATGTAGACCACGATGGCTTCAGACTCAGACATTTTTGTTCCTTTGCCTCTTGAGTGCTGGGATTGAAGACATGTACTACCATGCCTGATATTATTATCACTTATTGGATGTTGAGGAAGGTAATTTTTTTTTTATTACAGCTATTCCCACAGGCTGGAGAAATGGTTTGGAGCCCTGGTTCCTCTTCCAGAACAATGTGTTCAAGTTTCAACACACATACAATAGTTCACAATTGCTTTTAAGTAAAGTCAGGGAATCTGATGCCCTCTCTGGCCTTTACAGGCATCAGACAAACATATAGTGGACACAAAGTCTTGTAGACAAAGCACCCACACACGTTAAAAATAATTCAGTTACTATTGCATAATTTTATTTGAATACAAACTTTGATATTTATATAACTTCATTAAAGACTTTCACAAATTTCTTGTCTTTGTTTCTGTAATGTATAATCTTGGGATTGATAAGAATACCATATGAATGCTATGTTGTATGATTTACAACAGTATTTTCCTCTCCAGTATGAACTCTCTGATGTCTTCTAAGATTTGAAAGGTGGATATAAGATATGCCACAGTCTTTGCATTTGTGAAGTTTCTCTCCAGTATGACTTTTCTGATGTGCTCTAAGATACGAGCAGCTAGTAAAAGACTTGTCACATTCCTTACATCTGTAATGTCTCTCTCCAGTGTGAATACTCTGATGTGTTCTGAGATTTGACATGTAGTTAAAGGATTTGTCACATTCTAGACATTTGTAAGGTTTTTCTCCAGTATGAAGTTTCTGATGTCTTCTAAGATCTGAAATCTGATTAAAGGATAGGTGACAGTCTTTGCATTTGTAAGGTTTCTCTCCAGTATGAATTTTCTGATGTATTTTAAGACTAAAAATTCGTAGAAAGGACATGTCACAGTCTTTGCATTTGTAGAGTTTCTCTCCAGTATGAATTTTTTGATGTGCTCTAAGATATGAACATGAGGTAAAAGATTTGTCACATAGTTGACAACTGTAAGGTCTCTCTCCAGTATGAACTCTCTGATGTGTTCTAAGATGTGAGTTATGGGTAAAGAATTTGTCACATTCCATACATTTGTAAAGTTTCTCTCCAGTATGAATTTTCTGGTGTTCTCTAAGAGTTGAGCGCGTGGTTAAATATTTTCCACATTCCTTACATTGGTAAGGTTTCTCTCTAGTATGGACTCTCTGATGTGTTCTAAGATTTGAACGCTGGATAAAGGACATGTCACATTCTCCACATTTGTAAGGTTTTTCTCCAGTATGAATTTTCTGATGTTCTCTAAGATATGTACATGTAGTAAAAGATTTGCCGCATTCTTTACAACTGTAAGGTCTCTCTCCAGTGTGAACACTTTGATGCCTTCTAAGATGTGAGTCCCGGGTAAAGGACTTGTCACATTCCGTACATTTGTAAGATTTCTCTCCAGTATGAATTTTCTGATGTGTTCTAAGAGTTGAGTTCACAGTAAAGGATTTGTCACATATCTCACATCTATAAGGCTTTTCACCAGTATGGATTCTATAATGCCTGTTAAGATGTGATAATTCAAGAAAGGACTTACCACACTCTTTGCATTTGTAAAATGTCTCTAAAGAATGAGTTTTCTGATGCCACCTAAGTGATGAATAGTGGGGAAAGGCTCTGTCACACTCATTGCACTTGTAAGGCTTCTCTCCACTATGGAGTCTGTAATGGCTCTTAAGATGTGAAAGCTGATGGAAGACCTTGCCACATTCTTGACACCTGCAATGTTCCTCATCACTATGGATTTTCTGATGTCTCCTGAAACTGGAACAGTGGGCAAAGGACTTGTCACATTCCTTACATTTGTAAGGCTTCTCTCCTGTATGTGTTTTTTGATGGCTTTTAAGAGCTGAGGACTGAGTAAATGACTTTCCACATTCTTTGCATTTGTAAAGTTTCTCCCCAGTATGAAGCCTTTGATGTGTTTTAAGATTTGCCCACTGGTTATAGGATTTGTCACAATTGTTGCACTTGTAGGGTTTCTTTCCAATATGAATTCTCTGATGTACATTGAGGCTTGAGGCAGACCTGAAGCATTTCCCACATTTCCTACATTGGTGTGGTGGCTCCCCAATGTAGATTGGTTGTTGCAAAAGACTATATGCAGATCTGAAATAATCATCATATTCTTCCTGCCTGTGCTCTTTCTCTGCAGTGTAGACTCTCTGATCTTGAGTAATGCTGGAACACATATTTAAAGATTTCTCACAATCTTTAGATTGACAAGGTTCTACTCCAGTGTGCATGCTTTCATGTTTGTCTGGGTTTGATGAGTCAACAGAGGCATCCCTGTGATTACTGCATGTGTAGTTATTAGAGTTTTCTGTAGATTCACTTGTTCTATGAAGTGCATATGTGGAGGGGTCATGAAGCACTTTGTCAAGGTCATTACACTGACAAGACTCCTTTTCAGTCTTCACACGCTGATGGACAGGATCACATATGTAATAGTTCTCTGCAAATGAGTACAGTTCAGATTAATAGGGCTTGTTCCAACAATAACCATTTGACAAATGGCTGTCTCTTTAAGTTCTTTCTTAAGAGAAGTCAACCAGCAACTACTTAGATGCTTTTCTTTTGCTGTAGTTGAATATATTCTCACAAAAATAGCCTGATGTCTGCCATCAACAGTGTGAAAAAACAAACAAACAAAAATCCCCCACAAAAAAACAGCCTGAGATAATAATAGAGATTCTTATATAAAAATATCTAACGGCACGACGTGGATAACAAAAGTGAGGAATCAGTAATTAGTTTTGCGATGGAGACCATGAACTGATTGTATTTAGAGTAGATGTCTATACTTTCAAATATTTCTTCTCAGAAACTGATGAAGAAGAGTTTAATCCAATCTTAGGTTCACAGTGTTTGTACTTGCTAAAGTGAGGGCCAATGAGGAACACTGTTCACTGACCCAACTCGTTTAAAGATTAAAGACTTACTTAAAACCATCTCAGGGTTTATTTTAGTTTTTTTCTGAAACAGGGCATTAGATTCTCGAAAAGTAATGGATGATTCAAAGGTAGTATAATGCCAGACATCAGAGGCTCTAGATCATTTGAGGCAGGGTGTCATGGGCAGCGATTGCTTATTTCTCCACACACTGAGAGCTCCACACACTGCTATTCTCTTAACTTTCCTCATAGGGTTGTCCTCAGGTCCACTGTGTACACCGATTCCTGAGATTATTTCCCATAAGCATGCCTGTGTGCTCTCCAGGGAAGAAAATGAAGGATGTAATATGAAGACACACATGCAAGGATGGCAATTAAAGAATACTCCTACTTCATGGACTCATGTTAAATTTAAAATTGTGTAAAATTATTTCAATCTGGTGTCAGCATTGTCAAATAAAATTGCACTTTGTACTAGTATTGTCACCATAATTCAGGTGCAATAGACAATGCCTTATAAGAGTTACAGCAGACAGGATGCATCCTGGGATCAGGATACTATATTATAGTAAGTTAAATGATCAGGAATCCTTTCAAGTGGAATTGAACATCACAAAACCATTCTCAGCTCTTGCTTTCTCTTGCACTTGAAGCCATCGCCGTTCTGTTGCTCATTCACTAGTCCACCCTGGTTGTGGCCACTCTCTCCTCTCCACATATCAGGGCAATCTCATTCTTTCTAGATAGGTGACCAGGTCTATGTTGCATACAATAATCCACATGTTCTGTGATGTAGCCCATGATACATGCTAGTAATTGTTAGAAAGAAAATAGACTTCTAACATAGTACTGGACTCAGTACATGAAGAGAACACATAGGAGAGGGATCTACGAATAATTTCCAATTGCCATGTTGTTCAGAATCTTCAGCATATTTAGGAACAATGTTCAGTTTCCATATCTCGAGCTTTTCTCACAATTAAAACCATGTCCACTACAACTATGGACGCAGAGCTTTAAGATATGAGCATCAATGTTATACCATACTAAGTTTCTGAATGCATTGTGGAACCATAATGAGGAGTGCATGATACCTCTAACATGGAAAATGGAAGAAAAACTTAAATAGCACGAAAAGGTTCTTTCCTACTACCAAACATTCCCTAGTCTCCACTGTTTCCAAGACAGCTTAACAGAGAATTTGCAACTTGTAACTCCAGTACATATAAAGGATGAGTTACAAATTCTAGAAGCAAAATGTTCTCACCCACAGAGACCAGGTTGCTGTAATTCTCCAACATGACATCAATGTACAAAGCCCTCTGAGCAGAGTCCAGGCATTCCCACTCCTCCTGGGGGAACTCCACAGTCACATCCCTGAATGTCAATGGACCCTGAAATGGAAAAGACAGTTTGACCATGTGGTAACAGATAGCGCTTTCCTGGATATAAGGAAATTAGGGATATAGATGAGCAAAGACAATTCTCAAAAAGATGATTTCTAATACAGTCACACTCCATAATGACTGTTCCAATTCTGTGAAAACAGGATGACATAGTAGTCTCACAAGCAAATCCCTGCAACAAGACATACATTTAAGGTCTGGATGCAGTTAACTATCTGTTATGGATCCTGTGTTATGTTTCAGAGGATCATAATGTACAAGTCTCAGATGGGAAATTTGGGAGGAAGAATTATGTTTTAAATGCTGGACCTGTAGACTATGCTAAAATACTGACATGAATCAATTCTGGCTATACTTCGGCCTTATATGACGGTATTCTAACAGGCTTGGTTGGGATGTTTAAACTCTAGTACCAATTTCATTCTATTAAGGAGCCTTTAATGCCATCACCTGGGAGGCAGAGACAGGTGGTCCTCTGTGAGTTTGAGGCCAGCATGGCATATTTTCAGGAGCAGCCAGAGCTACACAAAGAAACCCTGTCTTGAAAAACAAAAAGAAAAAACAAAACAAAACAGATCTCTGTGGTTTGCGAAGTTACCACTGAGCATTGTAACCAAGTGAGTGATGTGAGCAGCGATTGCCCTGAGAGAAACAGATGGCCGGTGTCAACAAACACATGGCCACATCATCACTGTTGGGATATTAAACACCAAAAGAAATACAAGTAGACTACAATCTGAATCTACACTCAAGAACATCGGTTTCATGGCAAGATCAATGCATGTTCTGCACTGTCTAGTGTGCTTAAATTTTTAATAGTAGGAACCAAGTATTATTAAGCTCTAAAAACCTAGATATGTTTCTTTTAACTCGACATATTGCTAAGATGTTGTGACAACTATTCCATGTGTTTCAACATGCATTTTTTATAACCCCGATTAAGCAAAATATGACAGACACCACAAATGGAGCCTATATGACACATGAGCCCTCACTCACTAATGAATAAAGATACAGTCCATCCTCTACGGCATTTGTGCTTCAACACATTTTTTTGTTCATGTGTTAAAATTGGAGATATTTCAAAATTACAGGTCTTAAGTTCATGCGAGATATTTTGCCCTTGGGAAGAAGTAATTAATATGGGAAGGACAGAATGGAAAAGTACCACAAGTGTGGATTTATGGAATTATAGCCGTAGTCATAAGACAGCCTGGTGTGGTCATACAAACAGATTGCAGGGTAACAGAATATGGTAGAGGACCTAGTAAGAACACCATAAAGCGATGGAAAAAGCTTTGACAATGTAGGCAAAAAGATACATTACAAAAATATGGCCTCTTCCATGTCTAGGTCCATGCTCCTGCTGAGCTGAGATCTGTGTTTGTAACGTTTAATCTTCCCGCCAGCCTGTTCCCAGTGCCGAGTCAGTCCCAAATGAACACGCAGGACGCTATATTAATTATGAAGATGCTGGCTTCTTATTGGCTAGCTCTGACTTAATTATTAAACCATAACTGCCAACCTGAGTATTTCCACGTGGTCTTCTCGTACCAGAGAAAAGGGTCCAAACATCTTACTTCTCCCGTGTCCTACATCGTGACTTACTGTGCCTCTGTTTCCCAGAATCCCTCTCGACTCTTCATCCCACCTATCTTGCCTCCCCTATTGGCCAACAGTGCTTTATTCAACAACCAGTAGGATAAGCACATACACAGAACGCCTTCCCCCATCATGTGTTGATGTCCATGGCCTGTATTGCTACAGGGGTCCATCAAACTATGCCTGTGGAAGTCCGAGGGCTGTGCTGAGCCAGCAATGCCCCTCATTGGCCCTGTTCCTCACAGGGGGTGTGACTGGGACCAGAAGACCCCGGACCTGTCATTCATAGTAGAGCCCTAACCCCTACACATAATAGAGAAAGCTGACCCTACCCATTACCTGAGAGTGGTGGTCCCAGAAGCCTGGACTGAGAACTCGGCTACCTCCCAGGCACACATCTAGTACTTTGAGCTGACACACCCCAACATCTATCCTATCATTGACCTGCTGGAATGAGTGAAGGGACTGGTCCTGTGGAACCATAGCCTCAGGATCACCATGATGTGGGACAACGTTTCAGTGATGGTCTAGTACTGATGGTGTATCAGAATCCAGAGGCCTTGAATCTGACCAACAACCAGTGCAGAATGAGTATTTGCATGTAAAGCTGTTTGGACAAAGGGTCTACTGAGTGACACAGCACAGCTCCTAATGCCACAGGACAAATAAAGAGATGATGGAGAGGCAGGAAAGATGGAAGAGCTAAGTGTTCTTTCTTTTGTTTGCTTGTTTTTTTTCCTTTACTATTATTACTATTGCATTTTTCACTTTTTTACTTTTCTATTTTTATCTCTTTTAAAATTTTACAAGGGTGAAAGGCTGATACAGAGGGACTGGGGTACATGATGTGAAATTCACAATGAATCAGTAAAAACTTATTTTCAAACAAAAATATGACCTTTTCAACAAATAGTTCTGGCAAAACTGAATCAAGTAGTAGAATGAAATTAGATTGTTTTTCATTTACATAAAAACCCATTCAAAAATGTATCAAAAACCTTATTTAAAACCGAAACACACAGAAACCTAGAAAACACAGGGAATACCCATCAGAATGTTGGAATAGGCAAGGACTTATTGATTAGAAAGAATAGAAACAGCATAGCAACTTCCCTAAGTATCAACAGATGGGATGACATGAAAATAGAGTTTCTCTACATCAATGGAAACAGTCAGTAGACCATACGGACACCCCACAGAATGGGAGAGAATCTGTACCTGCGATAGGCACTCATATATAGAGTTTATAAACAGTTATAGCAATTACATAATAAGGAAATAAAAGTGCCAATCAAAAAATGGGCAAACGAACTCTGAAAGACAAATTTCAAAGACTTATAATCAAAGGACAATAATTATTGCAAAAAGTGTTCAGGATCCCTAAAATGCCTTCATGGAAACACAAACTAAAACTTCTTTGAAATACTGCCTCCTCCCAGGCTGAATGGCTGTCATCAATGTTAGAGAGGATCAGGAGAAACAGGAACCCTTATAAACTGTCAGTGTATGTGGGGGAGTGTAAATTAATGCAGTCATTGTGGGAATCAGTTTGGAGATAATTGAAAAAAATTGAAGAGAGAACTAACGTAAGACCCAGCAAAGCCACTCTTGGGAACAAACTGGAGAACTCCACATCCCAATATAGAAATATTTACATCCATGTTCACTGCTACTGTATTACCATAGCAAAATATTGGAATCAACCTAATTGTCTGTCAGCAGGTGGAATGGATGATGAAAATGTTATACATATAAAATGGAAAACTATTCAGCTGAAGAGAAGCATGTAATAAAAATCTTCAGGAAGTTGAATGGACTCAAAATATGTAATACTGAGTGAGGTCATACAGTGTCAGGAAGAAGAAACCACATTCTTCCTGATATGCAGAATCTAGCCTGTAGGAAGATCTAAGTACCTGTAGGAAGATCTAAGTACCTGTAGTGCTGACCATGCCTGTTTGGGTGTGGTCACAGGTATGTAGAATGTATGGGGTGGGGGCCGGGGGGACGAGAGGGCTAAGGGAAGGAGATGCTTGCTCTTTGGGTTCTGGTGCATCTGTGTGGACCTTTGGTTCTCGGCTTTCTTGGCATCTCACGTAAGTGATTTCTCCCTCAAAAAATATCATAAGATATCCCTATTTTGTGTAGCTTAATATTTCCTCATACTAGTCAACAATATGTTTTATGGAAACAAAGTACATTTGGGCACAGCAGAATACAGAGAGAAGAGAACAAGAAAGGTTAGACACCAGGATTTCAGACAGTATTGAATTCAGGTAATGAAAAACAGTTATATATAAAGCTAATTGCTTTTCTAGTTCTAATTCTGTCACAATTTTTTTGTGGTGGATAAGTTCATAAAAAATATATTTGACAGCAAAAATATAAAATCTCATGTGAGGCTGCAGAGTTTCTATTCCCAACGACAACTCTAACTGTACAGATGTACATTAAGTTGTAGTCTTTAGGTCTAGTTAGCTTCAGTGTGTGATTTTTATTGTTGTTTGAACATTTTTCATAATAAAATTTAAAAATCATCAGAAGCAGAAAACTAAAGGCTTGGAATGTCTGGATATATAGCATTTCTAGAAAAATAGTGGACATGACCACTGACCTGGGACATGTTTACTGGAGAATCAGCCATTTCTTTCTCTTTCTCTTCTTTGAGTTTCTCTCTCAGGAACAAGGAATAGATGGCTTGATGCCCTTTCACATAGAGTCAAAAATAAAGTGCAAAAATTAATACTGAAAGCTGTCAGATAACAATATTAAATCACATGAAAAGACTCAAAGAAAAGAATATGAACAGGTGTCCAGACAATGATCCCAAATCCATGGAAAGACATTTAAAGCTTAAAGAGAAAAATCACGATCCACAATTTTATTACATCCAGAAAAACACTTAAAATTGATGGAGACATAAGTGCATTTCAAGATAGCCTCGAGTTACCTTAATTGATTTCACTACAGCAGCTTTGCAGACAGTAATTAGAGGCAAAAGTTTTGCAGGAGAATCAAGGGATTTACCAATGAGAATATGGAAAATAATAAATTTTCTATGAATAATAGTAAATCCCAGACAACTGGGAAGTAATCATCCATGGACAAGACAGCAAATCACTAATTCCCACACAGAAGGAAGAAAAGTACAGCTAATAATCCAAGCAGCAACAGCATCAAGAAGAAGAGCATAGTGAATAAAAATGCCATAAGCAGAAATCTAGCCTGGAAATCAATATGGAGTATACTCAATTGAGCGAATAATTCCTCAAGTTAAATGAATCCAGGCCATGGCCCAGCTGTTCCACTCGTTGGCATACACTCAGAGGACTCCACATCCTACTCCACAGACACTCTCTCAGCTGTGTTCATGGCTGTTCTACACACAACAGCTGCAAAAGGGAAACGACCTAAATGTCCTTCAACTGACAAATGGGTAGGGAAAATGTGACACATATACAATATGGAATAGTATTTATTTGTCTGTAAAGAAAATCGACATCATGTGCTTTGCAGCTAAGTGGGCGAGTGAGGTAACCCAGACGCAGAAAGACAGACAATGCATGATCTCTCTCATAGGAAGACCCTACCTCCAAATCTTCAGATGTGAGTACACAACCTGGAGAGACTGCAGTAACCAGAAAAGTAACAAGACAGCGCTGTGGGGTGTGGGGGAGTAATGACAGGGGAATAATGGGGAACAAGTGATATAAAAAGAAACGGACAAACGGAGGGATTTAATGGTGAAGGGATAATATAGAAAAGGAGGGTAAAATAAGAGTAAGGATATCTACAAAGTCATAAGGAATCATACTATTTTTCATCCACTAAATATGCCAACAATACATATGTGTAAGCATATACATTTAGAATGTAGTATTCCCCATCTGAGCTGATAATGCTCCCTTCCACAAGAGCCATATTTTCTAACAAAACCACCAATACCAGGCATGAGAAGCCTATTTTGAAATTGCTGGTCACAGCTCTCTAAGAGACTTCGAAAACATTAGTGGCTACTGTGGTTGTCCATGTTTGCCTTCCAGAGATACAAGGTGAGTCCCTGTTGTTGAAGAAGCCATGTGCTTCAGTCACAGAAGCCAGAAGACTCGAGATGGGTTGGCATTTAAAGCTTCTCACCTGAGGACTATCTTTCATGGCACCAGAATGCAACGTGCAGACTTTCAAAGGAGGGAGCCAACTGAGAGTCCTACCCAGCTATGACACCTGTGAACTACAACAATTATCCACACAGCATGATATCCTTAAGGATGCAAGAGTGGCACACATAATTAGGTGGTGGCCAACAGCTTCTAGTTGGACTTAAGGCCCTCCTAAGAGGAGGGAAATCATGCCTGGTACTGGAAACCTATTCAGTTTCAGTAAAGTTAGTGAAGTCCTACAACTACTATCCATCACTCACAGACCTAGTCAATTCTTCTGTAGAAAGTCTTCTCATGTCTACAACAGGATAATCCTGAGATCTTTCTCACTGGAAGTCTCCCAAATTATTTCTAGTGAAACAGAATGTGGCTAAACTGATTTCCTGTCTAATTTCCACATCCCTGGATCCCCTTTCCTCTCCATCAATCTCTTCACTATACCTGGATTCTTAGCGTCTGTCTCCTCTCTCCTTCCAGGCCCCTTTGTTCAGCTGCACAGGTGAGCAGGTCTGGGTGATCAGTGAGCCCTGCACATGAGAAAGAGATTGTTCAGGAAGCTGGATTTTTCACACAGTGCTGTGCTTAGTAGATGAAGACAAAACTAAATACAGTATTGTTCAAATGATTTCCCAATTACCATGCAGTGTCAGAATACTGAAAATATCTAGAAGGCATTTTCAGTTAGTGTAACTTGAGTCTCACTTCCAATCACAGCTCAGTCAAATCCTGGGGCAGAAATGGAACTGAATGATTGGGATGACAATATCATAAACTAGTGACATTCTGAATTTATCATAGACCTAAGATGATGGAAGCCTCACACCTCTCAATGGGACACACACACACATGCAGCTTAGTTTGTCAAGAAACACTGAGCAGGAGCAAGGGAGATGACAGGAAAACTATTTTCACCCACAGAAACCATACTGCTGCAATTCTGCAACATTCAGACTAAGCCCTCTGAGCAGGCTCCAGGCATTGTCCCTCCTCCTGGGGGAAGTCCACAGTCATACCACTGGCTGTCAACAGAACACAAATGAAAACACAACAGTTACAAAGGTTGTGTTGGTGCACACCTTTAATGTCGGCCGGGGGGGGGGGTGGACAGAGGAGGAAGGAACTATGAGTTCCAGTCTAATCTGGTCAGTTTTGAGCCAGGCAATGAAATCAAATCTCAAACACAAGAACCATAAAAAGAAAGAAACTAAAAGAAAGTAAGAAAGAACAGTTTGGTCATGTATCTAGGAAAGAGTGCTTTTCTTTGATCAAGAAGAGAAAAGACTATTGTAGACATTTTTCTGAAGTAGATGAGTGATTATTATTATTTAATAGATGCTTTCTAATATTATGCTAAACAATAATACCTTTCCAAATCTCCCCCCCTCCAGCCCATCCAAGACACAGGGTTCCCCTGTGTGGCTCCAGCTATCCTTAACCTCACTCTGTAGACCAGGCTAGCAAGGAACTCCAAGATCCACCTGCTTCTGCCTCCCAAATGCTGGGATTAAAGGCATGGTCATTACCACCATGTGACTTTTTAGGGCTTTTCTAACTGTGAAAATATTTTGACTTAACACCATAAAAAAAGCACACTGTGCCTTTTCAGGCTCTAAGTTGCACATTAAGAACTCAGCACAAGAAGACACGTTTCTTTTTTTCCTTCCTTCCTTTCTTTTTATTTATTTATTTATCTATTTATCTATCTATCTATTTATTTATTTATTTTTTGAGGCAGGGTCTCACCACTAAGCTCTGGCTGTCCTGGAACTCACTATGGAGACCATGCTGGCTTCCCACTCACTGAGATCCACCAGCCTCTGCCTCCCCAGTGGTGGGATTAAAGGTGTGCACCACCAAGCTTGTCAAAGACATTTTTTTTTTCCTTCAGAATGCTGTACTTACATAACACAGTGAATACTTCTCAGATGAAAAAATAATGGTGCATAAAACGTTTACTTCTAAATTTTAGTGTTTACAACCACAACTATGGAACTTGCAAAAACTATACTTTCTGATTCAATTACATTTGCAGGCGTTCTTTTCCTGACTAACGCGTAAAAGCGCTCCAGGAGTCCAACTCTCTAATTGCAAGTGGCACTGCGTTGAATAGGGAAGTGGTTTAACAGGGAAGTTAGCCTCAACACGAATTTAAACAGCTTTGTCGTTTCCATCGTAGCAAAGAGAACCGTGTTTGCAAATATCAAGACATGAATTCAAATATTCGACTACATTGCTTTTATGATAGTATATTGGGAGTGAAGATCAATGAAAAAAAGAATCAGGATTAGTCCAGTTCACATGAGCTAAAAATTTACAGACAAGGGAAGACATCCACATCAGAATTTGGGAGCCGGCTTCCCGATGAAGAGCAGAGAAACCGCTCGCACCCCGTCCCCTCCCTCCCGGGTTCCAGCCCCGCGGCTCCTCTGACCTGGGAGGTTCCAGGGCCGCCGGGCTGCGGTTCCCGCCACTGCGCTGCTGCTGACGCTGACTTTCCCAGGCCGCCCGCCCCGCGCGGACACTGCGGCTCCGGAGTCTCCAGGTCCCCGCGGCGCCCGCCGCGTCCCCCGCACCCGGGTCTGCAGCGCGCGGCTCCCACCGTGCAGGTCCCCGAGCAAAGACCGGGATCGGGCAACGGGCACCGGAGGCTGCTGCTCCTCAGTTCTCTTCCTGGTCCTCTCGCATTAGGTTTCCCCGCTTCCGTTTACATCACACCCTTAACTCCTCCCACCTCATCCTTCCAGTGCATTCACCTAAAGTCCGATGCCCTCCCCACCGCTACTTCCGGTTTCGTGTCCCCGCCCCTCCCACTCGGTCTCCCCCGCCTTCCCCAGGGCTGCAGCTGTCAGGCTGCCCTGGACCCGCTCTGCACAGACTCCACACACGCTTGCTGCAGCCTAGACCAGAGCTGCATCCGGGAGGACGCTGCACCCCGGGGTCTGACCCCACAGTGAGTTCTGAAACCTTCAGAGAAAAGACAGGCAGCCTAACCTCGACTTGACTACCAGACTCCAGGGCTGCAAAATTACACCAGACGATAGCAGGCTAAATTCAGATGCCAGTGTCACATCACCAACACAAACATCACAAGCCAAAACCAAATACTGCAGCTGTATCTGGTGGAGAGACATTTCAGGAACTTGGATCTTGAAAATAAATCAGTGTCTCCAGAAGTCAGGGGTCAACCCATGGCTAACACCGCAGGGACGAGTTCATCCTGCGCTATATGTCGCTAGCCACTAGATGGCGATCTTGTCATTTTTTTACCATTCCAGAAACAAGTTCGTCTTCTGCGATTCATGCTAAACCTGTTTTGAGATAAAACATACAATTTATTATTTTTATTTTTAAGCCAGTGGTGAATGCAGAAACTCTTGCTGTGCCAGATATAGAAAACTGTTGTGCCCAAGTTCTGAACCCCAAAATCACCAAGAGGTCCATTTCAAAAGCAAAGAGTCTTGTATTGTAGATGTTTAACGAGCTAACTCCATTAGCTCGGGCCCTTCACCCTGCCACCATGGCGAATGGCTGGAGAAAGACCCCAAGCAACCTCGAGGCAGGGATCTTAAAGGGCAGCATAAGGGGAGTGTCTGGGGTATGAAACAGTCTCAGGATTGGTGCGCTTCCAGGTTTGGGTGACCCGCCCTGTGTTGATTGGTCAACTGGTTGTTATGGCCCATAGGACCTCCCAGGGCGGTTGCTATGTTCTGCACATCACTGTTGTGCACCATCTGTAAAGCACACCCAGAGACATAAAGCACAGCCCCGCCAGCTAACTTCTGATTGGTTCCTTGCCATGAGGAGGGCATCTGACCTTAGTGACCAGGACAGGAGCTGCAAGGTCATGCAAGCACATGTTAGCCTATAATGGCTGCTAAAATGGGAGACTGGTCACTACAAAACAAGTAAGGATGTGTTTCCTGGCCTAAAAACCTCAGTTACACCCTCTTGTCTGTGGCTCTGGGAACACTGAGGAAGAGGAGGAAGAAATAAAATAAGAAGGGAAAGAGCAGGATGGGTTCAGACATGCCAGTCTCTAGACTCCACACAGCTGTTGTGATCAGTAACCAACAGCAATGGTACTGACCTGCACTGACCTCACACTAGACCACAGTCAGTCTAGGAAAGGGAAAGGCTCATAGGGCCCCACCCTTAGCCTCTCAAATGTTGTCTATGGATGGATTGTATTTTATTGAGTATTTTTGCATCAATGTTCATGAGGGATATTGGTCTGAAGTTCTCTTTCTTAGTTGTGTCTTTGTGTGGCTTGGGGATCAAGGTTATTGAAGCCTCGTAGAAAGAGTTTGGCAAAGACCCTTCTGCTTCTATTGTGTGGAATACTTTGAGAAGAATCGGTATAAGCTGTTCTTTGAATTTCTGCTAGAATTCTGCACTGAGGCAATCTGGACCTGGGCTTTTTTTGGTTGGGAGACTTTTGATGACTTCTTGTATTTCCTTAGGGGTTATAGGTCTATTTAAATTGCTTATCTGTTCTTGATTTAATTTTGGCAAGTGATATCTATCCAGGAAATTGTCCATTTCCTTTAGATTATCAAATTGTGTGGAGTACAGGTTTTCAAAGTATGACCTGATGATTCTCTGGATTTCCTCAGTGTCTGTTGTTATTGAAAGACCTGAAGTTGTCAGGCTGAATGCCTCGTGACGTCCCGGGCTCAATAACCAGACCATTGGATGCAAACTGCAAGAGGTTTATTTTACACAGGCGCCTGCGGGCACTCCAGCTGCTTTTGCTAGCTGAGAGCCCCGGGCTTTCGGACAGTTTTCTTTTTATGTACATAATTTTGGCAAGCAAAGCAATGGGGGTATTGTAGAAAGCGGAGCCACTGCAGGTGCAGATCTGGGCAAGCAATACGGAATTGTCAGAAGCGCGGGCTTAACTCATCCTCCCTGGAGAAACCACAAGGTCACAATTACACTTATCTCTACAGCCTGCCGGTTTCCTTCGTTAGCACTCTGGACCAGATGTTCTTTCTTCTTCTTCTTTTTCTTTCTTTCTTTTTTTTTTTTTTTTGGTTTTTCGAGACAGGGTTTCTCTGTGGTTTTGGAGGCTATCCTGGAACTCACTCTGTAGACCAGGCTGGCCTCGAACTCACAGAGATCCACCTGCCTCTGCCTCCCGAGTGCTGGGATTAAAGGCGTGCGCCACCAACGCCCGGCCCAGGTGTTCTTTCTAATCAGACCTTGTTCCCTGTCTAGGGGAAGGGACTTTGGGGAATTTTCCACTGAGGCAACCTTTTGAGTCTCAAAAAAAGGGGGGTGTATTGAGGTTTTTCATTCCCCCATTTCTTTTTGTGAAGTTTTAATCTTAAAATTTATGGTCCTTCTTGTTGTTTAAGAGCTTGATACTGTTGGGTGAGAACCATGGCCTGGGTGATAGATAGGCATTCCTTAATGAACATCATAAGGCGATTTAGAATACAGGGACCAAAAGTAAGTATTAGTAACAAAATAACCAGAGGATCTAGTATGGTAGAAATCAGGGTGGTCAGCCAGGAGGACCCATCGAACCAGCTTTCAAACCATCCCTGTTGAGATTCCTGTTCTCTCCGACGTTGGTTGAGTCTTTCCCTAAATTTTGCCATGGAATCTCGTATGACCCCAGAATGATTAACATAGAAACAGCATTCTTCTTTTAGGGCAGCACAGAATCCACCTTCCTTAAGAAAAATGAGGTCGAGACCTTTTCGGTTTTGCAAGGCAACCTCAGCCAGAGAAGCAACAGACAATTCTTATTTAGTAATAGACCCCTCAACCGCTTTGATGTCTTCCTCAATGGCTAGTTTTAATTCTGAGTATCCTTGGGACCCTTGAACCAGTGCAGCCGCTCCTGTGCCTATCCCGGCCGCCATCCCTGCCCCCAATAGGAGGGCTAGGGTAAGTGATATAGGCTCCCTCTTGTACCTTGATGGGATCCCCTCATAAACTTGCTCCAGAACTTCAGGAGGGTGATAATATACACGGGAAGCAAGCAGACTAGGACACAAAAATCTTTGGAAGCACTTAGGACTTGGGTGTGCACATCCCAGTATTACATGCCCACCAGAGTCCCGATTCTGGGGCCAGGTAATTTTGACTTCCTGGCTGCTGGACAATTTGGTTTCAGAGGCCCGACTTGGAGGGTGGAGGTGTTCCTAGGCATAGACCCTGGCTGGAAACTTGAATGAGTGTTAGCCTATGGTCTGCCTCCCAGTCGCAGTCAGGGCTGGTGGTGATGTTAGTAAAGTTTCCCATCGTGGAAATCCCTTCATAAAAGGGGTATAGACGCTAGGCATAGCCAACAAGAGGTAGTAATGTTTGGCTGGGTGTTGTTGAGGGCCGAAAAAGCCCCTTGTACCAAGCTGAAGAGTCTCTGTCCCGTTGAGGAAGGCATGGGGGTAGAGACAGGTGAGACTGGGGGAAGTTGGGGTTTTGGAGCTTTAGGTGGCCATTGTTCTGGCAACACATCATTAGGTCCTACGGGAGCCTTTAGGGGACTGGCTATTTTAAGTCTAATTTGGAATGAAAGTCCCTTATCTCGCCCTGGCATATAGAATCTTAGTCCCCAGGTTTGTCCCCTGACCCATCCGTTGAACTGTTTTCCCGGATTTGTGAAAGTTATGTTAAGGGTGTTTGAAGTCTGGTTTTTTTTCTACCAACAGTAATTAAGTCCCAGCTTGACAAGGGGTGCCATGGTGCCGTTCCTGTGGTCTCACAACCCCACTGTTTGCAAAAGAAGTCCCCGAGCCCCCCACATCTATGCACCTCTGATCTTGATCTACCATCCCTATGGCAGACATGGGGTTATTTGTAGGGCTTTTCGGGTACCTGGGTACTTGCAGCCAAGGTTGGATCCGATACCATACTTAGCTAGTGGTTCCTCTGGGGCCCTCTCAGGTGTCAGTTCAGGGATGTCCCAGTTGCTTAACACTGCTACTAGGGCACAAATCCTAGGAAATAGAGGTGGCCACCATGTGCCAGGGAGAGCCTCCTTAGATGTCGACCAAACCTTATCCCCTGTCTGTGACATCACCTGCCAGGTAAGTAGTTGGGGAACATGAGGACTAGAATCAGGGTGGCCCCAGAGGCCTACAGGGAGCACACTTAAAGTGACTACAAGCAAGGTTAGGGCTGTTTTAGGAGTCTTATTTTGAGGGGATTTTGGGTGCCCTGAAGTTTCCATGCCGTGGTGGTGGGCAGGTCCTTTGGGTCTTCTTGGGGAGCGGCCTTTACGTGTGATGCATGTACCCAGGCCTCAATGCCGTCTACTTTTAGAGCAGTCCGGGTAGTCAGCAGCACAGTGTATGGTCCTTTCCAGCGTGGTTCCAAAGTTTTGGACTGGTGCCTCCTCACGTAGACCTGGTCACCAATCTGGTGGGGATGGGGCCTGGAAGGTGGTCCCTTCTCCTGGTATGCCGCTGCCAAAGGCTTCCAAATCTGCTCCTGGACTATCTGTAAGACTTGGAGGTGTGCCTGCAGGGTTGGGGTAGTAGCATAGGCAGAAATATCAGAATCAAAGAATGTTATAGCAGGGGGAGGATCTCGTATGGGGTGAGGCCATGGGGGCCAGGGGTGTTCCTGGCCCAGTAGAGGGCCAGGGTCAGGAGTTGAACCCAGTCTCTAGTGCTAGTCTCCAATGCTAATTTAGTCAAGGTCTCCTTAATTGTTCTATTCATTCTTTCTACCTGACCTG